TTTTTACTATATAAAATCTGACACAATCCAGAAAAGATGCATACCCAAACAAAGGGCTGAGACTGCAGAATGTCCCCAATGCACAAAAAACTCACATACCCACACACACAGGCACACACACACACACACACAAACAAACACACACACTCCCATTGAAACAAATTATAGCATTTATGATGTTTCTGCTGGGAAATGACTGTCATTTTGAATTTTTTGACTTAACACAGTTAAATTTGAGTGATGGGGTGGAGACCAATGAGTTTATATCATATTTATATATTTTTATTTATCTTTTATATTTATTACATATTTATGAAACTGTGTAAATATGCATGTGTTTGGATTAAAATTCAGTATCAATTTCATTGAAACATTTTTTTTTTTTACAAAATATAGTTTTTTAAAAATGTTTTGATATATATCTGAAAGCCTTGAGATATATCTTAAAGTTTAATGAAGCCTCAAGTTGGTGTAGTTTTAAAGATTTCACTTGTTTGGCTCATTTAAGAATCTCCATAGGATTCAGTAGGCTCCTCTATGGCTGTAATCATAAAATGCAATATTATGCATTTTTTCCCCACCAGATGGCACCAGAGACACTCAGTGACCTAGGTCCTGATGGATAATAATGTTTAAAGTATAAATATGCAGAAATTGTGTCTTTCTTTGTTTTTTTGTGATGTGTGAAGTGACATATACAATCCTACTCTGGTTAAAAAAAGGATTCCCTTTCGTGTTTCTCTTTCTGGAAACACACACCCCCATCTTTGATGCACTACACCTGAAACCACTGAGTGTCCCATACACTCGTATATGGTCCTTCGAGCCGGATCTGCCTCAAGATGGATCGTGAAACTCCCAGTGCAGCTGAGCCCATCGTACGACCTCGCCCTCCAAGAGAGAGACACCTTCCTGCCCATCTGGACGACTATGATGTCCAGCTCCCACCTAACCAACATCCTGAGCCAACTCCTGCCGATTCGTCTTCACATAGATCATCCAGACCATCAAGACATGTGTCTAGATCCATGTCTTCTGGTACGGTTTCCAGTACTTCATCCAGATCACATCACAGTGCACAATGAAGATCTCTCAGACATGGACTCTCCGATCTTCAAGCTGCCATGTTGGAGGAAAGGCTAAAGACTCTGGACTTGGAAGAACTTCAACAGCAGATCGAAGAAGGACGCCATTGTAGATAAGGAGTGTGAGAGACTCGATGCTCAGGCTAGAGAAGCGCAGTATAGACAGGAACAAGCCACTAAGGCTAGAGAGTTGCTAGCTAAGCAGGTAGAGACCCGGCGGTGTCTCAAAAAGGTTCAAAATGAGCTTGAGGTTGCTAAATATGTTTGTGTTG